GCTGAAGCAAGCCAGCCAATCATCTCGTAGTCATATGCAGATAGCTAATATATATTAAAGAGAGTTTTTCAACAGGAAATCCTTCAGCCCTCTCTTGAAGACTGTTCATAAGATATGACCCCATAAACGCAACCAAACCCAGTGATACCTTCAAAATTCCACAAAGAGTGGCACGGGCTTTTCACCGCTTCAAAGAACAGAAGGAATATAAAATTATGAAAACGCATTTTGCACACGATTTGAGCTTAGATAGGGCTCAGAACCTTTATATAAGTGAGGAAGCCTTTTTTCGCATCCATCTTGTAAAATACTATGTTGCAGTAAGACGGGGTCTGCATAATGCTACCACATTTTGATAAAGAAAATAACTTCCAAATGGCAATAACTATATCCAGCGAGAAGGTTTCCCAGTAAACTACCGTACTTCATTGTAATAAGGGACGAGTTGAAGTAGGCTGCTTTGTTTTTCCGCCGCTCTGAAGCAAACCCCATAAGCCGAACAAAGGTAAACACCTGTTGTAATGGCGGATAAATTACACAAACTCGTCTCTAATTGGTTTAGCTATCGATTTACGTTCTGTCATGTACACCGATATTGAGGGGCTTCCAAACGCGTGACCTTTAGTGAGAAATTCATAGGGAAAATCGTCACAATGGCTTCAAAGTCATAAATCTCTTTACACCGGTTGTTATGGTCTGCTTTGAATCATCACTGAGCTTGCTGGGGATCACAGTAAACAATGCAGAATTCATTGGGTTCACAATATCAATGTTTCCAGTCTGTCAGATTCGAATTTCTTCTTGGAAGACCACTTCATTGCCGAATACTGCTTCAGGTTATGCTTCCCATGAGAGTGTTCATCTTATAGCGATTGGTATATCAACGTAATTGGTCTATGCTTTTAGAATAGAAAAACCATTGACACCTTGATGGTTCTGTGGTCACAACTGTCCCCTTAAAGCTCCGATTTGTTTATGATGGATAACTCATTTTCAATGCCGAAGAAACAAGTTGTTGCGTTTTCTCCTCATTGAGCTACGGAAGTGAAGATAATGTACTTCGACGAGCACAGGCTAACTAGTGGCAATAAATATGTGTAGGCACTGAATAAAAATAAGAAATTGAAATAATTGGTTGAGGAAAGAGAAGTCGAATAGATATTTGCCAAAGGGTAATACGTCCGTGAAACGTTGTAGTGAAAAGTGACATGGAACATATTACTCCTTATTTTCCATTTTTCCCCTTCACACTGTCTCATGTTCGCCAAGTGAAAAATGGCAAATCCGTTAAAGTGTTCGTTCTATACTCTTCAAAGAGAAGAAAAATGACCCGGAATTTGATCGTGTTTAGTTATCACCAAACGAAATTGTGCGTGGTATAAAATTTTGTCTGGGTGCAGAATTTTCTGTAGGGATAGATGACCTCCAAAAGTCAACAAGTTCTTCCGAATAATGAAAATACCATTACTTTCTCTCAAGTCTTACAACAGAAAGCTTTTCGTACTTACAGTGTTTTACTGAAAATAAGATCCAATCATATAATTATTTCAGCTTAAAAAAATGGACTAGGGATTATTTTTGAGATGTCTGATTTTCCATGTTCATTGATAATCTGCTTTTAGTTTTGACCAAAATTCTACATGCATTCAAATATAGTCATGTCATCATCTTTAATATCATCATGAATCTTCAAATCCCGCTTCCCAGCTTCAATTTCTCCTTGCTCAACTTCTTCTAGAACTATTCACCTGTCTTCCTCTTGCTCAAGAAAAAAGTTTACTTTACCCGAACATTCATTGTTTATGTAGCCTACTCGTGTTGTAGTGGTCTGATCACAGGATTTCTTCACGTGAACTACGCTTCAAACATTTTCCACGCTGGTTTCTCAGTCGTCTTTTGCAAATGTAGTCCTTCGTTTCTATGACCAAATGGTTCTTAAATAGTTTATTTACTGCGGTATGAAACGATCAGAGATATGAAATAATTCTCGTGGGAATCATTGTTAAATCCTTAATAATATCTGAGAAACTGTTCTCCTCGTCCTAAGCGCCGTGGGTAATGGCTGAATCCTAGAATAACAGACCTCGTTTATCCCCTGACAAAACAAGATGCAGAATCAAGTCAAAACACTTTCTTATAACTGCTTATTGGAATGAGACACATTCAGATGAAAGAACGTAAAAACCTGAAACACCTTCAAATTTGATCAGTTCAGACGTGAGGGTCTTGAATCTTATAAATGATGTGAAATCCGCTATGGGTGGAGAATATACAGGTTGATTCTTCATTATCTATAAGATTTAGGCTCATCATTCCTAGGCTCATTTCGACAAATAATCCCTAAATTTCTTCATCTGTCAAACTATAAGGAACAGTACTTCTGGAAGATGTCCACGGCCAATCCAAGGCTACCGAAAAAGGAAAGTGACCGTTGATGTTGGGAAGCGAACCCAGGACGTCATGATCAACGAATGAGACAATCTCTATAGATTCTATGGCATTGGTAGAATTTTATTGCTCAATAACACAGCGTAGTCGAGATCGTTGGTAGGTTGTCGACGTTTCGGTCATCACGGGTAACCTGTTTTCAAGACTGGGTTTACAACCGAATGAAACTGGTAACGTCGACAACCTACCAACGATCTCGACTACGCTGTGTTATTGAGCTATAACATTCTACCATAACATTTCACATGGCGCATCGATTTTTCGATACATTCCGAACCGATTTCATTTCTAACACATTAATTCTACGGCATTGTTTTATTTCGGACAAGTGCTTCTCAGTGCCGAACGAGATATTAGAATTAGGCAGGTCAGCATGAATAGGAAAATCTGAAATCAAAACGGACAAAACAGAGAGATGTCAAACACTCGTGGTTACAGAATTTGCAAAATATGCGGGCCCAGAGAACTATTTGAATCCCAATTCAGTTGAAGATAATCCTAGTATTTTCGTCGTCAGGATAATGTGTGCAAATCAGTCTATTCGGGGCATTCTTTAATTATATCATAATAAGAACAGTTTGCATGCATGGGGAAACCATATGAAACAATAAAAGCCTATGCATCCATAAAGTGGTGATTCCGGTATTCGATTCATCATTCCAGTAACTGTTTTCTAGTTAAAATCAACTAAGAATATTCTATTTACTAGGATACCTGATACACATTCCCGCGGTGCAAACGGACAATACTTACTCACACAAATGTCAAACGAGACCATATTTAGGCATTGTTTTTGTCCCCACTGTGATTGCATTTACTCATGGGCCTATTCAAACGCATTTTAATAGCACGTTACCATTTCCTGATCGTGGCAACAGTATCTGCGAGCAACAAACGTTCGTACTGGTACGAAAGAGGGCAACCTGAATAATTTGTACAGATCGAGACAGGACTCGAGACTTGAAGACGGAGAATAAACTGAGCTGGAGAGATTCGAATGGGAAACATGCTAAAACCGTTCCCATTCTGAGCTTGCTGTGAGCTCATTTACACCGACTTTACGCATGATTCGTAATCTGTGATTAGTCAAGCATCGGAGCCGAGAGTCATCAATACGGGTGGTATTTCGGTTGTTGCTGAAGTTAAGTGCTGCATGCCTAATGTCGGTGAATCATAATCCTACTCGACCGGTCCAATTCCCAGCTCCAGCTCGACAGGTGCACATCGCCACAGAGGATTCCCAACACAATAACGAAAACAGTGATAAAATATTTCCCGTAATAGCAGCTCCTCGTTCCCCTGAAGTTTTGAGATTTTTTAACAAATAGGATGGAATTTCGACTTGATTATATTTTTACTATGCTGTGAGCAGCTAATTTGCATGAAACGTTAGTAATTTTTGAAGTTCGCCCCAGAATACGTGGTAAATCAGGAAAAAAAATATTCAATTCGAATGAGTTCAACCACTGACTGACAAATGGTAACCAGTTTCTATTCCTGTATTCCTCAGTAATGTCTTGGTGAAGAATCCCAAATCTGATACCGAAATTATTGGGTTTAGGAAATGGTGTAGGTCGCAGTTTAGGAGGAAGGTTTTCATTAGTTCTTATGTACTAATGGTGGCATCTCGGCTGATGATGAAAAGTTTGTCCCCTGAATTCCAAGCTCACTAATCAGAGGTTGTTGAAGACGCGCAGGCATACGATTTCAGAATTCTCCGGGAACCTCACACTTCTATCCTGTTGAACAACAGTAATTCAGTGTCGGGTAACAATATGCGAAAAATCAACTCAAATCGGTCAACAAACAAAACTAGACTTGTGATCTCCGAATTCCGCTACAGATTCGCGGAAGTAAAATAAACCGAGTAGTGAAGAATATGTTACCAAAACGAAAGTGTACCACATTTCTCCGACACTGATACCAATTTAAACCATGAGCACCGACAAGTCTAATCAGAACGTTTCCAACATAAGCCTTACTTCCTGAATAGGCCCCAATGAGAAGCGTCATATACTGAGTGATCCGATAAGGCAGAAGTATGCTGACGACTATGGTCAGGTCACAACGGATAAGACAATTTAAAAGTGGCGTATTTTCAAATTGATTCGTCCAAAAAATACTAAAATAGTAACGAGAAATAGGGAAGCTCGAGTCTCATTCGCAAAACGATTCGTATGAGAAAAACTGCCGTGGGGCTCGATTGAATTGTTTTGATCGTTTGATCGATAAATGAGGTCAGGAGTGAATAACTCGATTAGAATGTATCGTTTGCACGTCTCATATATTGCAAGATGGACCCACGTAGGGTGCTCCGCAACTAAACTGAAATTGATAAATCAGATTCGATTTGGTGTACAGAGGTGGACGTTGTTTCACCGACGGTGTGGGGATCTCAATCGTTCGATGAACAATTCTGAGGTCAGCTGCATAATATGTTCGGGCAAGTGCTGATCCAAGTGGTCGTTTGAGCAAGCAATTGATGTCATCACGTTTGAATGGAAGACAAAGGGTGACTAGTAGTTTTTCTGCTGAACAATCCGTTTGTCTGATCACTTTAGGCTTGCTGTGCCTTTGAAAAACGCATCGGGATAAGCGTTTCCAGTCAAAGATTCTTTCAGCTGTCGTAGTTCGTTGTCAATCATGTCTTCTGTGCAGATATGTCGTGCTGTTTGAAATAGTGTTCGGACCAGACCACGTTCATATTCTACAGACACTAAGCTGTCAAATTGCAAGCATTGTCCTGTCCAAGTTTCTTTTCGGTAAAAAGATCTAGCGATTGTTCCATCATTCTTCCTAGTCATTTTAATGTCGAGGAAGTGCAGTGTATGTTCGCGTTCTGCTTCCATCGTAAATCGTATATTCGGATGCAGGCGATCGAGTTCATCCATAATCCATGTTGTCTCTTCTAGACTTATTGTGATGACTAGAACATGATCAACGTATCGTTCGTAAAGTTGTGAACGTTGGAGGATTTTGCTCGCCTTTTCCTCAAGATGAGCCATAAATATATGTGCCAGAATGGGACTCAATGGAGTTCCCATTGGGACACCGTCAATTTGTATGTAAGCCCAACCAAGGACCGAGAACGATACGTTTGTTGTGCACAGTAGTAATTGTCTAACCAGAACTGATACTGGTATACCGATTTTTAGTTGGTTTTGCTCCACATGGTCACAGATGATACGTATGATCTCCCGACCGGGAACCATACAGTTGTGCAATTTGAGTTCCTTTTGGCTTCAGATGGTGAGCTGTGCTTTCATCGATGAAGTGTCCTTCTAGTAAAAGCTGTACTTCTGTCGATATCTGTTGTTCTAGTTCTTTAGGGTCTTCACAGTCATCTTCGAGTACAAACTTGCTGGAATCATGAAGAACATTTTCCATCTTCTCCTCATAATCATTCCGATCGATCAGCACTGCTCCGGACCCCTTGTTAGGGCGTAAAACTAACAAATCAGGTCGCAACTGTAGCTCCTCAATGGCGGATGTGAATGTGCTCAGCTTTGCTTTGAACCAAGTCTCCGCATCTTTTCAAGTTGGTTTGACTATTTGTAGTTGTTCGAATGGATATTCGAATTGCGCCTGTCTTCATGCTGTGTAATTTACTCGGTGGTATGCACAAACGTAGACCAAACGAAAGAGCCTGTAGTTGAAGTTCATTCGTGCAACCGATGACAAATTGTTCACAAACTTTTCTCGTTGTTTCGGAAAATTTGGTTCGGCTAACTTGTGAACGATGGAATTGTGAAGCTTGTTAAATGTACAAAGTTTGGCTTTTCGTATGATTTCCATGCACAAATTGGTAAATTTGATTCGGCTAACGAGGCTCAGTTCGTCAAGAATTATTGATCATTCGATGCACGTGGTCTGAAGTGTCGTTAGATTTTCTTTATAATCATCAATCTGACATCACATCAAACGTCTCAAATTCCTGGTAGAGGCACATATCTTATTCCTCCGTAAGCGTTTGCAAAACGTAATCGGGTATCTGTTGCAACGGACACACTTTGTTCCAGAAAATTAATACAAACTCGAATCGTGGCAATTTTACATATCAATCTGACTAGGTCATCGAGAGACCTAATGGTTGATTTCGGGAGACGAGATCTGAGGAAATTTAGGCATGCTTTTCACGAAATAATCTTGAAAAGAAAAGCCACAGTTGCAACATTGCACGATTCATGTCCGGGACGATTTCGCTGCATCTCAACATGGTGCACACTGCACAACCATACTGTTTATATAAGTTCATGTAAAACCATAATTTTCGATAAATATAGGGGAAATTTCAATAGTCAAGTTACGTCACCATGGTAAAGACACATGAACAAAGAACTTTTTCTGTTGACACAATATAAGGTTTCCATCAATGTATGGCAATGGTTTGAACAAACCTCAAAAGCCTGGTATTCTTTGCCACGTATATGACCCGAAACGCAGTACTTCGGTCAGCTGGATGTTGCGTCATCAGAAGATGACGAGCGACGGCCGACGACGGGATCTTATGGTTTCGAACGTTGTCATTGTGCCTTTGATCTGACCCTGATTGCATCACAAAACGTTGTACCCATTTTGGAATATATTCAATCACTCGGTATTTCTGTCTTGTTTTTCATGAACACGTCTAACATCAGACGTTCCCACCTTGCCTCATGGGTGATGGTTTATCAATTGTTTCCTCAGATCTTTTTTCAGCATTCGAATATCTATTCGAACAACTACAAATAGTCAAACCAACTTGAAAAGATGCGGAGACTTGGTTCAAAGCAAAGCTGAGCACATTCACATCCGCCATTGAAGAGCTACAGTTGCGACCTGATTTGTTAGTTTTACGCCCTAACAAGGGGTCCGGAGTAGTGCTGATCGATCGGAATGATTATGAGAAGAAGATGGAAAGTGTTCTTCATGATTCCAGCAAGTTTGTACTCGAAGATGACTGTGAAGACCCGAAAGAACTAGAACAACAGATATCGACAGAAGTACAGCTTTTACTAGAAGGACACTTCATCGATGAAAGCACAGCTCACCATCTGAAGCCAAAAGGAACTCAAATTGCACAACTGTATGGTTTACCGAAACTACACAAACCCGGAGTGCCACTTGGACCAATACTACTACTACTACTACTACTACTACTACTACTACTACTACTACTACTACTACTACTACTACTACTACTACTAATTATAATAATTATACTACTATTATCTTTCTATCTATCTATCTATCTATGACAAATTCACCGCAACACGAATTGGCCAAATGGCTGGAGAAACTGCTCGAGCCAGTTCAAAAATCAATGGTCAGACACACTATCAAAGACAGTTCAGAAGTAGTAAAGCTTTTGGACCAGATCACGCTATGGTCGCCTTAGATTATGAAAGAATTTGGTATTCTGAATGCAAGTAGTCGCCCTTAACTAGGTTCAGTTTTGAAGCGACCTTCGCCAAACAGTTAGCCTTGCAATTGCTCTGTCAATACTTTTGAAAGTGAGGGTTGATTGTAGCATAGGCTAGTGTTCTTCAACGGTCAGTCAGTGTAGCAAGGCAATCGAATGATATGTTTCCTCAAGTTCCACAAGAGAACGAACAAAATGGGGCAGTAAAACCATAGACCATTCCAAAATCCGTCCCATACAACTGTTTCTTACCTCACTTGATTCTCTAGTGAATATGAAGCTTTCTAAGGTGTCCGTCTGTATCTGCACGAAGATGCTGAAAGCAAAGACCCCGCTGGATGGCCGACCTTAGGTAATTTATCCTTCGCTGAAAGGCCTAAAGGTTAACGTCCTAAAGCAGGTTATACAGCTTGCTACACAGAAATGCTGTGTGCATACCAAAAGAGTCGCATCCTCATTGCATAAACATTACCTAGTGACCAGTTGAGAATAGTTGACAGATTTAAGCAAGTCATTATGGGAGTTATAACGGTTGTTGTGGGAGACCAGTGGAGAGACCAGTCACATGAAGGGCACTGGAAGCCGGACTAACTTTCTTCAATTTATTACCCTTGTCTCTGCCACAAAATGTGACCATACACGGAAGGACTAATGAACTCGTTAAGATATGTAATCTTTTACTTCAAGGTTGCTAGACCTGGGAAATGCCCTTTTTCCTCTGTCGTGAGGTATTGCGGGCACCATATCACAGCGGATACGTAATCTAACATTGCCTTCGTCATGTTCCTTCGTGTTTTCATTTTTAGTCATCTTGAATGCCGTGCCGATAAAATATGCTTTATCGAGCCTCAAGCTTGAAGCATTGAAAGTAAGCCTGTTTGGTAATTGACGTTCTAATATACGTTAGACTACGACTTCAAAGAAGACTGCCACCATTTTAGTTTCTTCCCAGGGATTACCTATAAGCTTCCCTCACTACTTATAACCCTATTCTCCAGGATGTTCATCTTTTCAACGGAAGGGACAGATTCCATGAACATAACAGTTGACGGTATATTTAGTGGTTGCAGATGACCACTTTGAAATCGGGAATGGATTAGTCATATACCAGTCAGGAATTGTAACAAGTGTTATCTACCTTGGAATATGAACACGGGTAACATCTTTCAGGACAGCCACGAGCTAAAGATTCCAAATACGTAGTACAAACTTTGCACCGCATTGATTGAGGGCTTGAATTTAGAGTTTCTATTTCCAAGTCTTTAGCACGATGACCTTGCTCAAACAAAACTCAGAACGTGTGGATATACCCTAGGGAATAAATATTTCGATTACTGATAGGTGCGTATCCTTTCTCATTTAAGGAGAACTTATTCAGCATGGAAAGCAAACAGACTAATTTACAGTTTGTCCTGCAGGTTCACAACAGTTTAATATTTATAAAATAAATCATTTTTACTTTAGGGAAATTGCGCTCGGGTTTATGAACATACCTCTTGGAATATGACTGTTTAGCTCTAAACCGAGGACCAGAAAGAGAACAGCAACTGACATGTTTGCTCAGCAAGTTTGAAACTGACAAGAAGGATGATAATGTTATTAAATTTGTTTTGCCTAATATATTCCGCTGTAACGAGCGTATCCAATAGAATCGTGTGTGCGAATAATCACGTGAACGGTAACGGAACGAATGATGTTTGCCGGTAGATCGTCCAACGACACACTCCGTTCAAAATGACCCAGGAAAGTGCAGTTCCTCTGCCGTAGATTTATGTAATTTTCCCCTTCGTTTTTCAAGCTTTCATAGTAAACACTTGTACACACCCACACCCGTACTACCGAACGAATAGCATCGGACTGTTCAACCCACTGCTCGGGTCATTGTGATTCATCCATCAAGTACTGAACAACTCCTTTCGCCCAAATCATTTGTTTTGATTTCTGCGCTCTCATCGAATCATTCAAACTAATACATTTTCCATTTATTTGAAGTATTGGAAAACTCTGTCTAGGATACCAGGAATCATTTCTATCACAACCTCAATGAAAATTTCTATTGATTCATGAAAATTCATGCTGCAGAGAGAAAAGTCTTTTCACTTCATCCTTTAAGCATTTACTACGTAGTACGGAGTAACTGGGAATAAATATAGTTCTAGATAATATGATCCATCATTTGCAAATAGTTCTAGATAACAGAGTTGAATAAACATGCAATAAGTCCGGGGTCTTTACTACATACTAAAATCTAATGATCCTTTTCAATTCTGGTGTGAAATTATATGTGAATTGTGTGGCCAGTAAGAAGGAGTAGACATGTGCTAAAGTTGGGTGCGTGAAATGTCATAAGATTGATGAGTTTGACAATAGAAAGTACAGAGTGAAACTCTTGTTATGGCCACGGAAACAACAACAACGATTCCACAAGACCGTCCCACGAAACTGTTATTGTTGTTGCCGTGGCTCTCACCTTCGAACTTCTACGGCTTCTGCCATCAAGCGTTACTGCCTACGTGGTCGTTTGCTGTGAACTGCACAAGTGGTCAGGACCGTCACCGAATCGATTGGCTGTCTACTATCAAACAAGTGTTGCAAGATTGTGTCTTTGATAGTGTGAACTGTTCCTTCGCGAAGAAGGATAGGAAAATGTCCTTCTGTCTCAGGGAACGAGAAACATACCTGTCTACGGGATTATTGTTTGAATGAGTGCAAAAGTAATTACAACTGGTTCCTGGGCCCGTGAATAGTTCGCCAATTCGCCTACTTCAATAATTACAAATATTCGTTTCTCTTTGCAACCTTATTTTTTTCCTTTGGGTAAATAAGATTTGTCATTTACACGGGCTTCGACATTTATTCTTCTTCTACATAGAAATTTCATATTCCCGGAGCCGTCTCACATTTCTTCATGAGTTTTCGCATCGAATGCATCACGTCACTGGCGGATGATCTCTTATTTATGGTTATCTTTGGTTCATTGTTTCGACTTTAAGCGCTTTTGTTTCCCATCTGATATAAAAGGTGTGGCCACTTTTGAAGTAATCATAATTTTGTTGATATACTAGTGCTCCGTATTAACCCACTTCCACCTGAACAGATGCGTTGGGATCTCTAGTCTCACAGTGAATTTACAATAAATCACAGGTCTTTCATATCTACTATGGGGCTGGTTTTACTCTATAAGCAAAAGTACCAATAAAACCTATGAAATCCATTCGCCTTTTCGAACAGGTTCGTGATAGAAAATCTGTTAGACTCTGCCCACCTGTCTGATCTGGGTAGCCTGTGTACTCTGTCAGCATGACGAACTAAGTCTTATTGACTGATTCGGGGAACACAACTTTGGTTGTTTCGTAGGACATATTTCACCATTATTTTAATGACCCGGTGTTTTTGAACAAACATATTGTCACCCCGGGAGCAACAAATAAAATTATGCTGCCAATCCCGATAAACGGCTGATTTTAACCTTACAGCCGGATTTCTGAACGTAATTAATGAAGTAACGATAGGCTGTAAAATGAATGCGACTACTCTAAACTGAGGTCAGTAGTTTCGGCTTTTGCTGAAGGTGTAAAATAACTCTACCATTGATCCCGACAGATATAATTGAATACTCGCTGAGTTTGAGCTTTTATTTGTATTTTCTGCTTTCTCATCTTGTGTGGGCTCTTACCATTTATTTCTAGAGTAAAATTCGTTTGCGGATTCAGTCTTGTAAGTATGTTCCTCCGAAAGACTTACGAATAAACTGTGTGGAGCAGACCCCAAAGATACAGACGGCCAATACACTCACAAGGAGAGCGCTGGCAGTATTTGACCCGAGTCGAATCATCACAGGTATGTGAATTGCCGGGTCATAGCAGAATGTTTTTTTACAATGAAATATGAGCTTTTCTGATCCACCAGTTAGTGGTTTATACTTCTCGGGTGTGAACTGCTAACGACCGAGTTCTACGCGTAACGGTTGACCTTTCCCAACTGAACCTTGTCTATTCATAAGATATGGGCTTAGGGCTATTTCACGAAAATCTCACAGTCAAACTGGTGTATGACGCTCCAGTAGTTCTCAAGGGCAATGTCAAGTGGGTTCTCCATACGATGGTGTTGATATGACCGGGATTTTTAGACCTCGGAACTGCCGTATACAAGTGTGGAACTCATAATGCTTCAACTTTGATTCAAGTTTCATTAAGGATTCAAAGCATCTGAAGTGCAGCTGATAGCGAAACAGCTGTGACGTTCTTTCGTGGAGTTCCAGTGGGTAATAAGCGTTGACACTAGATGCTGAATCTTATCGTATAAGAGAAACTAGCAAAGTATCACATGGATAATTTTTACATGGTCGGACTGATAACTGAGAGTTAGTATCACAATAATTTAAGGCACGTCTTCATCGCTCAAGTTATACTTCCGAATACCAGTGAAGGGCAACTGGGAGAAAGCACTATTTGAAGGTAATTTATTCAGGCCGCTATTTTAGAAGTGTTATGCTTTTTTCATTCGAAAACATGACTCATGTCATTCATTGAAACGATCCAGGATAGAAAACAAGCTTGATTTTGGTGTTTTATCCAAGGTTTATTTACATCACGTTGTATAAATCAAGCATACAAAAGCCATTCTTGTTTCGTTTTTCCCGTGTTAACTGACTTTTCTGAATTTTTATAATGAGCTACAATGAGGTAAGACGTTCACTAACAGAGTTCACGTTGAAGCTGTAGTAAATCATGAAATCGATGGATCAGGGACCTGCAGGGATGGTTTTGTGAGTTGTTCATCCTAGAAGAGATCCATTTCTCCATGATGTTTGCCTTTTTGGTTCGGCTGCTTGTGATCTGGCTGTTTGATCAGATCTGCCAAGCCAGAAGTGTTCTTCGTCTAGTTCGACCAAATCACGACCGCTCTCAGTCCGTGTTTAAACCAGGTTAGTTGTCGTTCTCAGTTTTTCAATCGAAAGTGGTTTCTTGTTACACGAACACAGTGCTTTGTCTAACAGGAGCGTATAAACTGACGTATGCAGTGGAAAATCATCTATGTGTAACAAGGCATCATTCAAGAAAATCAAGTGGTAATTTGAAGAAGGAAGTCAATAGAATTGGATTGCACAATGTAGTCCGGAACATTTATCTGTATATTCACCAGTACATTTTCCGGAGAAGGTGATTATTTATAAGCGGTTGATTGGAAATTCTCGTAAGACCATAAGTAAATAACACAACTTGATTCCTATAACAGGAATCGGCTTTTGTCTTGTGGTGTAAATTATTGTGTTCCTCCAAAATAGACTACTCTTATTGACTCACAGATCAGATTTGATTCATTCTTCGAAGAGCTGACTAACAACTAACGGGTGAGGAAGCTGTGGGATGGTTCAAAGCAAAAATGGTAGATTTTGAGCACGCGTATCAAACGAGTACCGCAAATGAAACTGTCTATTGACAAAAGACCATTAAGAAGCCATAAACCAGCTCAGAAGGAACTCGGCATTGATACTTTTCCAATCAGACAAGGGATCTAGTGTAGCTGTTCTGAACAAAGTATTCTACAGAGACAAAATGGCGATGATCCTAGAAGATGAAACAAAATTCAAACCGGTCCCTAAGACTAACTTCTCCAAAGAACTATAAAAGAAAAATAAAGACACAAACAGACCTCGCAAAAGCTAAACTTATCTCAGAATCCACGGCCAAGGTTCTAAAATGTACAGTAAGTCATATACCACATATGCACGGCCTACCAAAAGTACGCAATGCAGGTATACCATTTCGACCAGCGTTGTCCACGGCCAACTCCTTGCAACGCAAACTGGCAAAGTGGCTTGGGGAACGGCTTAAACCGGCGAGGTATTTATTTGGAAAAATCATGGTGAACAATAGTTATTGAAGATGTGGCTTGTTGAGAGATTTGATCATTCACAATAAGTACTTACTCACCATGAATGTTAAGTCACTCTTTACAATTAACTCAGTTCCGAAGGCCGTTGACATAGTTCATCAACTTCCCGATGATAACGACTTGAACATTGGATTACCAAATAACAAGCTGTTTCGATCATTATTATTGTGCATCTCGGAAGTATAATAATATCGACTGACTGACGGAGCTGCCATGGGTAGTTCGCTGGGGCCCTTTCTGGCAGTTAAATTTGTCTCACGCCTAGAATAAAATATGGGAAAAACCGTATCTCGAGCTAATCTCTACCGACTTTACTTGGACCATTGTAGCTTGCATTGACCAGCGATTTCCGCCCGGGGTTTGCACATGAAGGATATGAAACAGCGAACACTAAAAATAGCCCATGAGTCCAAAGCTTAGTAATCGGACAACTATTTGGCTGCCTACAGTCTGCTCACTACACGATATCTTCTTCACTGTGAACACCAAGGACCAGTTTGAAAACATGTTCCATCACTTCAATTCCAAACAAACGACCATTCAGTTAGCCAAAAACGAGGAAGTCAACTACATCGTCACATTTCTGGGTGTTGGAATTACCTGCCGAAAAGATGGATAGAAGCCTAGACCAGCCCATCGTAAAACTGCTTGGTCAG